GTATATATATATATATATATATATATATATATATATATATATATATATATATATATAAATATGATGATGATGATTGTGTATATGTATGTATATGTATGTATGTATCTATAGATGTAAGGGCAAATTATGGCCACCCTTGGGGTATGGCCAAATTACGAAAAAACCCCTCTTGTTTGGGTAATTACAGCCACCCTCCTCCTTTTAAATATTTTTACATAAAATTTATGTAATTCGGTTATTTACCGAACCAAATCGTATATTTAGTTCAGTAAATGGTATGAAATGTTGGCGTACCGAATTAATGTCCCTAAATTTACCTCTGTAAGGGTCTTTTTGTAAGATAATACATAGTTGAGGGGGTGGATGATTACACAAACAAGAGGGGGGTTTTCGCAATTTGACCATAACTCAGGGGGTGGCCGTAATTTGCCCATAGATGTAATAACGTTTTTTTTATAACTATTGCTTGCATGCAGTTCTCGGTTCTACTGCCCGTGGTGTTGACACTCGTTTCGACTCAGAATCACACGAGCAGCTTTGTGAAAGATTTGTCGAACTTTTGTTACCCAAAGTGGGCTTTAGAAGCGTTTGTTATTGGAAACTCCGAAAGGTATATTCTTTTTTTACACGAGCAATATTTATTTTATTTAAAATTTGATGTAACGATCAATTAACGAAACGTCGATCGCAGGTATTACGGAGTGTGGCTCCTAACAAGATGTGGAGCACTATTGAGATTCGGTTACAACGTTCATAATTGGGCTCTTCGATTATCGTTTCTTCTTCTCACCGGCTTAGCTTTCCGCGCTGTAGCTTTTATCGGCATGGTCACTCTCCAAAAGAAGTGATTATTGTTATATTATCTCTCTGGAAAAACGAGCCCTCGGTTTTCTTTTTATTCGTCGCCTTCGACGAGAAGCAAGGTCAAGTATATATATATATTCGATTAATCTGCATTCGATTGAAGGTTTCGTTATAAGGATATGTATTATTCATGGCTTTGTGATTTTTGATACATTTGTACTAAAAATATTTTTTATTTTATTTTTTAAATTGTAATTCTGTGGAATAACAATTTAGATATGTGTAGAGTGTGTATTATTGTATGATTAAATATTATAATTAATTTTTTTGAGAGTAGATTAAACTTAACTCGGTGTATCTTGTATTTTTTGACTCTTGAATTAATGTGTTTTGATTTTGTGTCTATTTATTTACATTTATTGAAGTCAAGGTGCTATTTAATTGGTGGTTTAATATTTTTTGTGATTTTAATAATTGATGGTCTTTCAAAGTTTAGAGAAATATTTAATTGAAAAATATAAAAGTGTATTTAACCACCCCCCAAAAAAAAAAATTGTGGAGTGCAAGTTGTTTATGTAGTGACAACCAATTTTTGCACACAATATTAATATTAATATTAATATTAGTATTAAAAATTGCATACACAATTATACATCATAATGTCGAGAATTAAGAGTAGTTGTGGCATAAATATATTCATTAACTCGGAATCGGACGATATGACTAATTTATTAGCAATGTTGCGTACAAAGAAAGCTATCACCAATATAAACTTAGATTACAAAAAATGTATATTGTGATTCTGTAACATATCAAATCAATATCAACATCATTACCGTGTCATTGTCATTTTATCGTTATCAATATCCATATCAAGTGTCAATATTAGGATTCATATAAGTACTAGTATCGATAATTAGTATTAATGCGGGTAAAATATTGTTTTCTAATCACCTGAAAATTAGTTTATTATGACAATCTTAAAAGTATTATATGCGTGTAGATACAACTTGCCAATACGATTTTTTTTTCTTCGAGAAATTCAAATTATGTTACAAATTAAGAAAGTGGAGGAAAGGGACAAGATTCGAACCCAAATTTTTGCTTTAATAGTAGAGATTAAGTACCAACTATTCTAATGAAGATCGGTTACAATTTGTTTATCTAAAGAGTGTATATGAAGCAAACCCACACGAAAATCTTTCCAAATTCCAATTAACAACTATATATCCCTATTTAATTAAGGAATCCCAATTTATAAGTTGTTTATTTTTATGTATATTCTTTCTTAATATGATATCAAGTCTTTGTCCTACTAATTAGTTTCGTATCTAATCAGTGATAAATTAATTATTTCACTTTGTTCTCAACATCAGTGATGTGAGGGGCCAGCACCCCCTTCCCAATTAAAAAAAAATCCATTTTTTTAATTATCATTTATATTTTAAGAATATGTAATTTCTTGTGTTAATTTAGATATTTTCTTTCAAATTTTAATAAAATATAAAACAATATTATTGAAATTTAGCATTTTTTTTTTTGTGAGTAAATCTAAAAAAAATCGGCTGGCTACGAAAATTTTAACCTAATTTCGATGTATTATTTTTAAAAACCAAATTCAATGTATACATATTTGAAGTCTAAAAATTCACAATAATACACACACACACACACACAAGAAATGCAATTAAAATAAATTAAAATTAGGTAGATGAAGTAACTAGGAAATCAAAGTCTTTATTAAATTTGACATTATATTTTAGTTTTGGGGAATGGAACAAGTCATATTTATAACCAAAAAAAAATTAATTAAAAAATTAAATCTCGACATGCTGCCACCTGGATAAATATAAAAAATAATTGCAGATTCTTTGACTATATGAAAATATCAAACTAGAACCTTAAATCCAATTTAAATATATACATATTTGAAGATTTCTCTTAGTAATCATGTTCTTGATTATGTAGTCTTGGTTTACCAAACTAATTAATTAATCAAAAAGAAAAGTCAATAAACTTAACACGTAACTTCATTAATTAATAATCTAGGATACATTCACAAAACAATATTTTATCTAGTCATGAAATAAAAATCAACTTGTAATTAATTTAGAAATATATTTTGATATTTATTTCGATTCTGCTATTATTTGCACTTATTTGATCTAACCAGCTATGTGGTATGTCATATGATGAATAAGTCAAAATAATAATAATAATACTACTAATAATAATAAAATAAAAATTTACATATATATTACACTTGGTTGAAATTATGGGGTTCATGTACAAAATAAATTAGCTCCAATTAATTAAAGTTCGATCAATCTATCTCAATGTAAAATTTTATTACAAGTGAAATTACATTTACTGTGTAATAAAACAACAGTCTAAATCAAAGACATTTAATTATTACTAATTCCCACGTGATTAATCGAGTCCAACCACCTCAAAATTCAATAAGTATTATATATACGTACGGTAAATCTTGTATATGTAATATGTAATTTTATTCCAACTAGCTAATGTTTACATTGATTGCCCTTTTCTTACATTAAAAAGTGATTTTTTTTTTTATAAAAAAAAAAAATAGAAAATAAAAAAGGAGTTTAAAACTAGAGTAATATTTATTCGTACCGATTCTTACTTGAACTAGTCAACATCTTCACAAAACTCTCTCTTAATCTAAATATATATATAGAAAAAAAATACTATTTTTCATCCCTCAAGTTTTCTTTGATTACACATTTGGTCCCTCATATTTCAAAAATTCAACGTTTTTAGTCATTTCCATCAATTTTCCATTAATACTAACAAAATCAAGTGTGTGTCCATCAGTGTCTTAACTGACGGACTAATGATAAATTGGCAAAATGACCGAAAATATTAAATTATTGAAATATATAGGACCAACTGTGTTTTTTGTGAACATGAGGGACCAAATATAAAATAAATGCAAACTTGAGGGCAAAGTCAACTATCATTTGCTTATATATATTCCCTGAATAGTCTACCATTCTTCTGCCACCTTCTGCTTCTTCTCCCACAGAATATATTTATTAAAAATATAAGAGAGAGAGAGAGAGAGAGAGAGAGAGAGAGAGAGAGAGAGAGAGAGAGAGAGAGAGAGAGAGAGAGAATTGTATGATGATATATTGATGAGCTGCAATTAATTAGTAATGAAAAAGGGTACGATGATGGGTTTGATTAGAAGGGTGATGATTATCATGCAAGTGGTGCAATTCGTGGGGTGCCAGCATCAATTTTCCAACAACGACAAAGATTTCTTTAACGCCACCATCAACTCAACTCAGCTCAACGATCCCGCCGCTCTGAACGAGTTCACCGAGTTAGTTTACGGCCGACTCTCCACCGTCACCTCCGATCTTATTCACAGCGATATTGCTCAGGATGCCACTTTCTGCGTTACAGACCCGTAATAACTCTCTCTCTCTCTCTCTCTCTCTCTCTCTCTCTCTCTCTCTCTCTCTCTCTCTCTCTCTCTCTC